AACAGAAACTTGGCTTAACAGCTAAATCAATGACAGCATAGTTAGCGTTACAGGCTATAGCTTATTTAGGCGGGACAGAGGACAGGCTGGAGGGGGGATATGTATATATATTAAGGAAGAAGTTTGTGGTCACAGAATTCATGCAAGCATGTCCAAAAAATTTAAAACTTCACCCCCAGTTGAATCTCTTTGGGTTGAACTAAAAATTGACAACCTAAAGCTGTTACTTTGCTGTGTATACAGAACTGATTATTCAACTGAACAAACTGACACTGAAATGATAACAGCTTTAACAGAAGCCCTTTCCCTGGAAATACCTGTGTACATAGTCGGCGACTTCAATTATCCACATATAGACTGGAAAAAACTTAATCTAAGAAAATCAGACAAACTGAATGAACTCTTCCTTAATAACTATCGTCAAATGAATGCTTACCAACTAGTCAACTTCCCAACGAGATTTCGAAATGATCAGAGTTCCTTGCTAGATCTCATCCTAGTAAACGACAAAAAACTGCTCTTTGACATTGAACAGCATCCACCATTGGGCCGTAGCAATCATATAGTCATTACTGCAAAATCTCAATTGAAGTGCAAAGAAAGAATAACGAAGAAAATCACAAAAAGAAACTTCTGGAAGGCGGACTATGATCAAATTAACATTTTTCTATGCCAGCAGAACTTCAACTCTAACCAGCATTCAGTAAATAAGTATGACAAATGCATTGACATCATCGAAGATGCAATTTCAAAATTTATTCCTCTAACCACATCCAAAGTAAATCTAAAGAAACCATGGTTGAACGATCACCTATTTAAGGAGATAGACAAAAAGAGAAATCTATGGGATAGCTATTCAAAATCACCCTCAGAGGAAAAATATAAGATCTACAGGACCCACAATAATCAACTTAAGAACAAAATAAGAATCTGTAGGAGCGAATTTGAGAAAAAACTTGCCTCCTCCCCTAACAATAAGCAGTTTTTTAAATATGTCAAACGTAATCTCAATTCAAATGTTTCCAAAATTAACTTAAAAAACTCGGATATCTTAATAACTGATGACTCTGAAATAGCTGAAAATTTTGCAGAACAATTCACAAAAGTTTACTCTCAGCGCGAAGATGATGAGCTTCCCTTGCTTTCAGACAGTATAATCAATCGTAACAGATTAAGAACAATTCTCTTTACTGAAGAAAATATTTCTGTAGCCATAAGAAGCCTAAAAACTGACATTAGCCCTGGTCTCGATGACATACCTACAATATTTCTACAAAAATGTATTAACTATATCAGTAAACCATTGGCAGAAGCAATGAATGAAATATTGATGAATGGAAGATTACCGCATATATGGACGCATGCAATCGTAACGCCATTATATAAAGAGGGCGATAAGCAGTTACCCTCGAACTACAGACCAATAAGCCTAACATCCAACATAAGTAAATGCTTCGAGAAAGTAATTGCCAAAGAACTAACTCCGTTTCTTCTTGAAAACAACGCTATAACAGAACATCAGCATGGATTTTTACCAAAAAGATCAACCACGACTAACTTAACAACATGACTCAAAGTTTTGACAGAAGTGAACAGGTTGATGTCATTTATTTGGATTTTGAAAAAGCGTTTGATAAAGTACCCTTTAAAAAAATGCTACATAAAATGGATCATTATGGTATTGATGGCGAGCTCTTCCGATGCCTATCAATCTTCTTGACAAAAAGAACTTTTCAAGTCAGGATAAATGGCAAGCTATCAACTATACATACATGTCTCAGCGGTATTGCTCAAGGAACAGTGCTTGGTCCTATATTCTTTTTATTGTACATTAGCGATTTATCTATGCAAATACAAACTACTATTATATTTTTTGCTGATGACGCCAAATTATTCTCAAATTCGAACAACCATAGACAGCTCCAAGAAGACCTTGAAAAAATAGAAAAATGGACCAAAATGTGGGGCATGAAACTCAACGAGGAGAAATGTACAGTACTTAGCATAGGAACGAATAGAACCGTCCATAACTACCAACTAAACAACACATCTTTAACTCATGTCGACCAACAAAATGATCTTGGCATTATTATAACCCCCGATTTAAAATGGGAGTCGCATGTCAACAAAGTTGTAAAAAAGTCAAACACTCTCATCTACTGCATTCAAAAAGCCTTCTCAGATAGATCCATAGAAACAATAATGCAATTGCATAAAACATATATTAGACCAAAACTTGAGTATGGAGGGACGATATGGAATCCATATTTTGCAAAAGATATAGAGTTTTTAGAAAGAGTTCAGAGGCGGGTCACAAAAATCCCAGTAGAATTGGCAAATTTGGAATACCCTGAAAGACTGAGGAGACTAAATCTAACAACACTAAGGGAAAGACGTTTGAGAGGAGACCTTATAGAGACATATAAGATATTGCTGCCATATTACCAAACAAACCTTAATATATTTCATGCAAATACAAATACACAGCTAAGAGGTCATAGTAAGAAATTGGAGAAGGAAAGAAATGCCAAACTTCCCAGAAAAAACTTTTTAAGTAATAGAATCGTTTATCATTGGAATGCGCTATCTGAGGATACTGTTTGTGCTCCAAGTATCAATTCTTTTAAAAATAGACTTGACACCCAACGTGACACACTAGAAAACATTAATGAGTTATTAGTGGAAATATAGAATGAAAACTATTGTGAAATGTAACCATCAAATAATCAACAGTTTCATCGGTCATAACCGCCTACTGTTGTATATCGTAATCGTAATCGTAATCGTAATCGTAACCCTGCATTCAGACAACTTGTTCGTCCTCGCTTCCAGCTCGCACGGTTCAGGCCTTAGGCCGCATGCGCGCTTTTTGATTCGGTAAGCGTGCGGGTCTTTGTAGATGCAGAGAAGGATCGGAAGTATCCAGACAAGCACAAGCAGCGCCTCCGTAACGGAGCCCAGACAGGACGCGACTTGTGTCTGTCAGCACAGAACGAGTAGTATCACCCCGTAACGAAGCCCAGACAAGCGTACTACACGTGCCATGTGATACCCCGAGCCAAATAAGGATGAGCACAAAGGACACTTCGTAACGAAGCCCAGACAGACGCCCCCCGTACTCATTATTATAGATCGAATCAGCCCTACCCTGGAACGAAACCCAGACACCAGCACAGCTCAATCCATAGTATTGACCCGCAAACGAACCTATACCTACATTGTACGGTGCAGTGATGACGTCGGCGTCGTGGCGAGATGAAAGCGGCGGCGGCGGCGGCGGCGGTGACGGTTTCTACGGTGAAGGCTTACCTTGGCTGCTGCTCGGTCTGCTGGCTGGTGCTGGCTGGTCGGTCGGTTGCGGTGGACGGAATGCCAATTCCTCGGCGCGCTTCGCAATTTATGGGCCCGTCGCCGCATGGCTTGCGCGGTGGGGAAGGCTGCCTGACCGATTGGCTACGGCGTTCCCCGACGAAGCGATGTGGGTTCGGGCGCTCGGTAGTATTGGCTTTTACGCCTGATTCGAGGTCACGCGTAAAGATATATTAATAATTAAAATAGAGACTAATTAAAGCCATATTACCTCTCCAGAACAGAAAAAATATGTAACCTTCGTTACACCCCCCCTCCTCTTTAAAAAAAAAATATTTACTTGTAAATATTTTATATATACCTATACATATACCTGTTTCACAACAAAAGTAAATCTTAACGAAATGAGACCCTAAAACACAGTCGGTGAAAAAAAAAAAACAAGTTCTCCTAAAAATCAAAACAAAAAAAAATAATATCTTACCCTAAAAAGAAAAAAATAAAGAGTAAAACTACATGGAAAAATAAACAAATAATAGTTTCTTCTTGGAAGGCCATGCTATCCTCCCCCATGACGTTCGCTTGGTTCGAGCTTTAGTTCGAGCGGTATCGGTGTGCGTGCGGTAAGCGGTTATTCATGTGACGGACGGCCGTATGGACACCCACACGTGCGGCAGGGCCGGTATTTCAACTCGTGACGGTCACATTGTACGGCCACGGATACTTTATTGCGACCGCGGGACGCAGTTGAGGTTACGGTGAGTGTTCCAGATTGAGGGGGTGGAACGACCTTCGAGCGGATTGGACCACAGGAACACTCTTTTGAAAGATAACCCACCCGGCCGCATCGAGAACAGAACATCACTGGTTTGTTGGTGCAAGCCTCCCGGCGGTGTCCGGGATAGCCACATCGCCAAAATAATTTTTTCTCCACTGGGAGGTAAACGTCGTCACAGGCATGTCGACGGGTGCCTACCACCGGGTTCGGAGCGGGTGATAGTGGGGTCGCAGCACGCAAAGATTCTGGTGCGGTGCTGGTATCGGTTTATCGGACATCGATCATTACATCCCTTTTGATTGTTTTCCTCCTTATTCTCGGCGGGCAATCCCTCATTTAGAGCCTCCTCAAGTGCCTCTGTCAAATCGGTCTCGGTTAATTGTAATACAGGGCTTGACATCTGAAAATTTTGGAAATAATTACTACCTCTCGTCGCACGTATCTTTGTAGTTTATTAGGATTAATTGGGGTAGGGGTGAGTACACGGAACGGATGCAGTCGGTTAACCCCAAGTAAAAAAAAAATATATTTTCCCAAGATAATACAAAATAAATAACAATTCAGTCTTAATCGGTCGGTATCACAGATAGAAATAAAAAAAGTCAATTTTTCAGTCAAAAATAAAAATAAATCATCATTTCCTATCGATCGGTATTCGGTTATTGACGGTATGCTTTTACAGGCCTCCCGGAATCTTAAAATGGATATATTTCCCGGTACTGGTGCGTAGGCGCAGACGGTAGCCCTTGTATACAGGGTGGCTTGGGGGACGGTATCTTCTCAGGGCATCCCGATATGCCGGGGTCCATTTGAAGGCATCTGGCTCTTGCCTAGCCATATCCCCGACATCTGTCTCCCGTGGTTGGAAAACCACGACCGCCCCCTTAAGCGGTGATTTGGGTCGTGCTGTGGCTCATGGCGGAAGAGGCAATGACATTATCGGGCGGGCGGTTGGAGCAGTTTGTTTGGAGGCCCACCAGAAGTGCAATTCGGGCCGTAGGAAGGCGAGGTTAGTTTTGACGCTCTGCAGCCCAAACGTGGGTAACGTGCTGGGACCGGCTTCACTTCTGGTGGACGTACCGGCGCCGGTGGTGTTCGGGTACGGGTCTGGTGGGGCCGGTCTTTGAGGGACTTCATCTTGCTGTCGCACGCAGCCAGTGGGAGGTCGCGTTGGAGGTTGCTGGGTTCGGCGGGGAAAGTTAACCTCTGGAGCAGTCGTTTGCATAGTGGTGGGAATTCTGGGGGCGGTTGAAGCGGAAAATATATGCCCCCGCGGAGGTGGACCGGCAAATCTAGCCTGGTAGGTTCGGACAGCCTGTCGTACGCGTTGTAGTCGCGCGTTGGCCTTTCGAGCTTTTTGCTGGCCGTCTTGTCGGGGATTGTACAGGTCGGCCGGATTTGGTTTGAGTTTCTTTGGTGGGTCCATTTTTTTTTAGCGGTGTTTCGGTCGGATCTGGTAAAGAGAAAACCTGGTTAAGTATAGGCAGGCTTAAGGTCTTTGATGTGAATGCGTCTGCGCTTTGCACCAGCATCATTCTTTAAGTCATATACTACCGGTGATATGACTTTGGTTACCGTGTAGGGCCCGGAATATTTCGGCGCTAATTTGGCCGCAAACCCTTTTATGGCTGAGGACAGGGGATTCTCCCTTTTCATTACTTTGTCACCAACGTGACATCGCCAGTCGCGGCGGCGTAAGTTATAGTGGTTGCTTTGGACGGTAAAAGCTCGGCCTAAATTCACCCTGACTAGTTCGTAGATTTCTTGAAGTTTGTTTAGCCGGTCGGAATGGTTGGTAAACTGCGCATCCTCGGGATCTTCTGGTGAAGTGGTTTCGGATATCGGTATACGATAGAGGGCTTTGGGTGGATCCAATTCCCGGCCAAAATTCAAATAGGCTGGTGAGAATCCGGTGGAGTCTTGTCTGGAGCTGTTTAGAGCGAAAACAAGTTCGGACAGGTGTGCGTTCCATTTTCGATGTGAGTCGTCGCAGAACTGGGCAATCATGGTCTTGATCGTTTTATTCGTGCGTTCTACGGGATTCGCTTGCGGAGTGTAGACTGGGGTAAGGCGATGAGCAATCCCCATTTCCCGTAGAAGTTCTTTAAAAGGCCGACCAGTATACTGTGTGCCATTATCCGTGAGGACCGTCTTTGGACAACCGAATTTAGTGATTACCTGTTCGTACAATGCTTGAGTAATGGCTCTGGCGGTTGCTTGTCTAATCGGTCGACATTCCACCCATTTCGTGAATCGGTCTTGGAACATCACTAGCCAGTTATTCCCTTTGGAAGAACGAGGTAAAGGCCCTATTAGGTCGGTGGTTACGGTTTCCCAGGGCTGCTGATTTCGGGATGGATGCATTTTACCGGGGGTTTGCTGTTGTGTCGGCTTGTATCGTTGGCAGGAATCATAGCTTTTCACATAGCGGGATATGTCTCGCATCATTCCCGGCCAATAGTATTTACGGCAGATTCGCGCTGTGGTTTTTGCAATTCCTCGATGTCCGGCCAGCGGTGATTCATGGTTTTCTTGAAGAATCGCTAATCGGGCACTCTTCGGTGCGCAAAGTTTCCACGGGTCAGACATTTCGGTTTCGGTCAAGTCGGAAAGATCCCAAAAGTGTCGGTACAGCTGCCCATCTCTCAGGTAAAAGTCTGAGAAAGCTGTGGGATTACTATCCACCGCGGCCTTTTTGACAGTATACCAGGCGCACGGTTCAAACTCCTCTAAACTTAAAATCGGCTCTGGTTCATTATGTTCTTCGGTATCGACGGGGTCTCGTGACAGCGCATCAGCGACTTTGTTTAGAACCCCTTTGCGGTATCTTATCTCGAAATCGAATTGTTGCAGGTAAACACTCCAACGAGCTAACCTACCGGACGGGCTCTTCATGGAATGTAACCATCTTAAACTCTGGTGGTCGGTCACTACGGTGAATCGGTAGCCTTCTAAATATGGCCGCATCTTTTCAATACCCCACACTATGGCCAGACATTCTTTTTCCGTGACGGAAAATTTCTTTTCGGCGGGACTCAAGCTATGGCTTGCGTACGCAATAACGTGATCATCATCGGTCATGTGTTGGATTAATGCCGCACCTAATCCATTGTCGGACGCATCGGTTTGCAGGACAAACGGTTTCGAAAAGTCGGGACAGGTCAATATCGAGGCTTCGGTGAGTCGGTTTTTGAGTGTCTCAAATGCGGTTTGTTCAGTCTCCGTCCAAACCCAGCGGACGCCTTTCTTCAGAAGGCGGTTATGTGGGCTGGCTATTTGGAAGAAATTCTGTACAAATCGGCGGTACCATGACGCTACTCCCAAGAAACGTCGCAATCCTCTGAGGTTAGTAGGAGCGGGAAGCTTCTGAATGGCGGCGACTATTTCCGGATCAGTTCGGATACCTTCTCACGTCACAAGGTGACCCAGGTAACGGAGGGAACGTTTCCGAAACTCACATTTCTCTGGATTTATTTTCAAATTTGCCTTCCTGAGACGAAAATACCTCCTCCAGGTTATTGAGATGTTCTTCGAAGGTTTCGCCAAGAATGATGATGTCATTCAGGTAGGCAAAGCAAAATGGGTCTAATTCTGGACCAATGATTTGATCCATTAGCCTGTGGAATGTGGCCGGGGCGGAGTGTAACCCGAATGGCATTACACGGAATTGGTAAAGACCCATTCCCGGTACGGTGAAAGCGGTTATCGGTTTGCTACCTTCAGCAAGAGGTATTTGCCAGTAGCCTTGTTTAAGGTCAATGCTAGAAATGTATCGGGCCCTGTTTTTGTGGATCATGATTCAAGTCGTATGGGAACTGACGCGCTCAACCGACGAGATTATCGATTTTATCAACGGTAAATCGATTTGGAACAAGATCGAATCGTTGGTGAATAGCCAACTTATACGTAAACCTGAAGACGCCGTGGAAGTGAACCGTTTTGATGGTCGGTTTAGTCGACGAAATTTGAAAATTGTTCTGGCCAAGAACAAAATTGAGCAAGTCATTCGTCTTTCTGATTTGGAAAGATCCTTACCCAAAATTACGAAACGTACACGTGAAGAAGGTGACGAGGGTATAGCTCTATTTGCGTCCGTAAAACGTTCGAGGGGTGACAAACAAGAAGAGGAGGATATTGAATTGATGGACATTACCAGTACCGGATATAAACCGTATCTGGGTAATAAAGATCCAACAAAGGATACTATCGATAGCTCTAACGGTAGTAGTATCATACTGTGCAGTCCTCGTAATGAATTTTACGTCGAAAAAACCAGACCACAAAAATTAGACGAAACCAAGCAATTGATGAACGATTTATTGGATGAACCTGAAGCAGAAAATATCGACGAAGATAGCGACCAGCAGAACAGTCACAAACGGTTCGAAGACGAAGACAAAGATTCCGACGAAGATGAGGACGACGAACCAAATGGCGATGATGATTATTGAAAAAAAAATAAACGTTTTCTTTGGTATATCATTGTTTTTTATTTACACCCAGGCGTTAGTTTAAATATAGCTCATAGTTATTGTCGTCGTTGGGCATATGAAGTAGTTGATTGTATTTAAACCATAACCATTCTGCACGGGTGAAATTCCATCCGCACCATACCACGTAAAGATGGTCATGACCAATGAAAATCATTGGCTTATTGTCCTCTTCAGAATCAGGGTCTAGCATTTTGTCTTATGGTCAAAAATTCACCGATTCAATATGTCTGCTATTAAACCTCTCAATCTACTTATTGGACCAACTATTTGCAACAAGCACGTCTCACAGGTCTTTTATTGAAGGAGGTAATACCATTGAAACTACATAAACTATTGTACGATTTAGGTGTACTTGTATTTTTATTGACAACGTTCACCGATTCAATATGTCTGCTATTAAACCTCTCAAGCTACTTCGACCAACTATTTGCAACAAGCACGTCTTACAGGAATGCCTTTTATTAAAGGAGGTAGTACCATTAAAACTACATGAACTATTGTAACATTTAGGTGTACTTGTATTTTTATTGACAACATTCAAGACTACAGATAAATTCACATGGCCGTCGTCTTTCGGTGACGGCATGTAAAACAATCCTTACTTTTACTTTCACAAATTAAACAGACAACATGGCCACATGGAATGAAAGCATACATAGTGTCCGTTAGGGCTGAACATATTGGACATTCGTGCAGTTTATTTTTCACCACATCGAATGTGTTCGACTACGGCAACTTGTTCGGTTCCGTTATGATGAATTTTTTCTGTGTTGACTGGGCATATCAGCATTGCGGACTATACTTCAAATGCTCTCCCCATATATCGTCATCGGCCACCCATCGATCTACTGCTATTCCACAGAAAAAACATTGGACTCTGTCTCCGGTTCCAGTATAAAAGAATCCACACAAGACCATTGGGTCGATTAGCTCTTTTAGAAGCATCGGCCATAATGCAAACGATTTGAGTCGAATCCCCTCCAGTGAATAGTACTTAATTGCAGGAGTTGGAGCAAAATTATCGCTCTCCTCGATATCCAATTTTCGTAGTTGTTGGTCACTGGAAACACCTGATGATGAATCATCGTCCGAACTTTCAGGCGGTGATTGCAAAATTTGTAAAGGATCGTTGTCCGAACTCAGAGTCGGCGATGTTTCTAAAGGAACATTGTACACTCTCACAGGCGGCGATTGCAAGGTTTGCATAGCATCGTTGTCCGAATTTTCAGGCGGCGATTGCAAGATTTGTAAAGGACTATTGTCCGAACTCAGAGTAAGCGATGTTCCTAAAGGAACATTGTACACTCTCACAGGCGGCGATGTTTCTGGAAAGTTGAAATACCAAAAACCCCGCGTTTCCACATCACTCATATTGAAAAAGCTCGTTTTAATCGTGAACACGAATAATTGTTATACTGATAAAATGAACGGTTTTTATAGGAAAGCCACGGAAGCTAATATTGATTACTCTTATTTATCAGGCTTATCCGTATATGCTGGAACCAAGCTATGATAAGATGATTCGTCCATTCGAGCTGTTTGAAAAGTACAACAACATTAATTGGATACTGCACACGAAAACACTTTACTCGCATAGTAATACGGGCAACGCTACTATAAATGAAAGTGTAATTTTGAAATAGTAGTCCATGTCTCACAGTGAAGAGAATAGTTAAAGAACTGGAGTAAAACACACAGTCTATCTTCACTCTTTATTTTACAAAAATAATCAGTTGGAAGGGGGGTTGTACATGTTTCGGATCTATCATAGATCCATCATCAGCATAAGTTCTACAAGTTACAAAATTATGGGAGTTATGGGGAGGGCCTGGGGTGTATACATCAAAAACTTACCAAATGGCACAGGGAAAATATGGTCATATACGACATGCCTAAGTATAATAATTATACATAAAAATATAAGTGTTCATGCTGTTATCAGCATAAAGTTGGTGGCTAAAGCCGCATCCAACACAGAACATATTTACAAAACTGGAATAGAGGAAGCTTGTGAGTACGATTTCAAAAATTACGTCAAAGTTTCAACTTACCAAAGGTGAAGATTGAAAAAATTATTTTATTAACATTAGAAAAATAGGACTGCCACACAAACACAGAATATGCCTATAGGAGGCGGAATTCTGAACGCTCATCTGTACTTCTGGATGTTAGTGGGTGTTAGCTTTTAGTTGTTAATCAAATTTCAAAAATTTACTTAATGAAAAATCGTGCTGTCTGCACGAGGAGTAAGAATGTAATGGAGATGAGGAAGAAGATGGTGGCAGGAAATTAGTAAAATTTGCTGCATAAAAAAACCTGACAATTCCAGAAATCAAACCAAGCAGCTCCCTCTCACGACCAAAAGCCAAACAATCATAGTTGGATACTAAGTTACACATCCAAAAACAATAAAATATGTTGTAAGCAATAAGTGTGATAAATTAAACTAAATTAAATTGAATAATATCATTACAAAAGGGATAATCAGAGTTTGACTATTGAATATTAAATTTTATATTTTTAAAGGTTCTTAAAAGGAATTATACTCCGGTGGGTAGCGTCACCTAACACGAGCAGACAAAGGTGCAAGCGGTGGTTGAATTTGTCTACTAGGGAACCCTACAAAAACTAGCGTGGTACCGCTGTGACAGGTATATAGATGGCGGCGCCCAGGACTGAAACCAAGGAGAAGAAATCTTGAAAGAAAAGAAGTAAAAGAGTGAGGTTAAACATTGTTGTTATTGACCAAATATGAATTTAGGTTGAAGTAAAGGAGAAACCGAGAGAATTGAAAAACTTCAGGCAGGAAAAATGGATTTGATCATTCACACAGGTTTTTTGAGAATTGCGCAAGGCTTTGTTGATTTCCAGGATTTCGAGTAAGTTCATAATGCGTCCCTTTTCACAGTTGTGTAAAACTACAACATCTTTTTCAGGGTCGAAAGAGTGTTTTTCTTTAAGAATGTGGTCCGAAAAGCTAGATTTACTCTGGATAAGGTCTATAGGAACTGAAGTTCAAGCTCCATAAAAAATTCCAAACACTTGACATCTTTAGTTAAGGACATATTCATCCCTGACAATGCGATTCTCGTGTCTTTTGATGTCACCAACCTTTTTCCTAGTGTACCTCCAGATGATTGCTTACAACTTGTTAACAACCTTCTGTTATTCCACAATTTCACCCACGATGTCACAGAATACATCCTGTCTTTGGTGGACCTTGTTCTTAAACAAAATTTTTTCCAATTCAACAATTCTTTCTACCGACAAAATAATGGACTCGCCATGGGCTCCAACCTGTCTCCACTTCTAGCCGAAATTTTTATGGATAATCTAGAGAAGAGCATCAGATTGAGTGATTTTTACTCTGATGTAGTTTTTTATTACAGATATGTGGATGACATCATTCTTTGTTATAATAACACCCTTGACCAGCTGAACCTATTCAGGAATTTTTTAAATACACTACACCCTTCTATAAAGTTTACTATGGAATTGGAACAGGATGGTTCTATACCCTTCTTGGATATATCGTTGTCTAGAACTCACAATAAACTCTCCTTTTCTATTTACCGCAAATCTACCACCACAGACACTGTGATTCCTTTTTCATCTAACCACCCATATAACCAAAAGTCTGCTGCCTTTAATGCCCTTTTCAATAGACTTTTTTCAATCCCTATGGCTAAAGAGGACTTTAACAGAGAGTGGAACATTATTAAACAAATAGCAACAGCCAATGGCTACCCTTCAAATTTTATTAATAAACTATTCTACAAACATTTCAATAAATCAGTACTCAATAAAAATCTTTTTTCACCACCAGACCACAATACAAATAAGTTCTTCTCCATACCCTTCTTGGGCCCAATTTCACATAGTATCAAAAGTCTATTCCACAAATTAATATCTGTTTCAAAACCCAGAACTCCCTTGGCTCTTCTATAGTTAATTCAAAAGACAGAATTCCCTTATTGGATAAATCGGGAGTATATTGTTTAAACTGCTCACAGCCTGGTTGTACTGTCTGTTATGTTGGCCAGTGCGGCAGAAGGATATCCCTAAGAGTCAACGAACATGTTAGAGAAATTGGAAAACATTCTTCAGTTCCTATAGACCTTATCCAGAGTAAATCTAGCTTTTCGGACCACATTCTTAAAGAAAAACACTCTTTCGACCCTGAAAAAGATGTTGTAGTTTTACACAACTGTAAAAAGGGACGCATTATGAACTTACTCGAAATCCTGGAAATCAACAAAGCCTTGCGCAATTCTCAAAAAACCTGTGTGAATGATCAAATCCATTTTTCCTGCCTGAAGTTTTTCAATTCTCTCGGTTTCTCCTTTACTTCAACCTAAATTCATATTTGGTCAATAACAACAATGTTTAACCTCACTCTTTTACTTCTTTTCTTTCAAGATTTCTTCTCCTTGGTTTCAGTCCTGGGCGCCGCCATCTATATACCTGTCACAGCGGTACCACGCTAGTTTTTGTAGGGTTCCCTAGTAGACAAATTCAACCACCGCTTGCACCTTTGTCTGTTCGTGTTAGGTGACGCTACCCACCGGAGTATAATTCCTTTTAAGAACCTTTAAAAATATAAAATTTAATATTCAATAGTCAAACTCTGATTATCCCTTTTGTAATGATATTATTCAATTTAATTTAGTTTAATTTATCACACTTATTGCTTACAACATATTTTATTGTTTTTGGATGTGTAACTTAGTATCCAACTATGATTGTTTGGCTTTTGGTCGTGAGAGGGAGCTGCTTGGTTTGATTTCTGGAATTGTCAGGTTTTTTTATGCAGCAAATTTTACTAATTTCCTGCCACCATCTTCTTCCTCATCTCCATTACATTCTTACTCCTCGTGCAGACAGCCCGATTTTTCATTAAGTAAATTTTTGAAATTTGATTAACAACTAAAAGCTAACACCCACTAACATCCAGAAGTACAGATGAACGTCCAGAATTCCGCCTCCTATAGGCATATTCTGTGTTTGTGTGGCAGTCCTATTTTTCTAATGTTAATAAAATAATTTTTTCAATCTTCACCTTTGGTAAGTTGAAACTTTGACGTAATTTTTGAAATCGTACTCACAAGCTTCCTCTATTCCAGTTTTGTAAATATGTTCTGTGTTGGATGCGGCTTTAGCCACCAACTTTATGCTGATAACAGCATGAACACTTATATTTTTATGTATAATTATTATACTTAGGCATGTCGTATATGACCATATTTTCCCTGTGCCATTTGGTAAGTTTTTGATGTATACACCCCAGGCCCTCCCCATAACTCCCATAATTTTGTAACTTGTAGAACTTATGCTGATGATGGATCTATGATAGATCCGAAACATGTACAACCCCCCTTCCAACTGATTATTTTTGTAAAATAAAGAGTGAAGATAGACTGTGTGTTTTACTCCAGTTCTTGAAAGTGTAATTGTTCTAGACCTATCATTAAACGAAACATTTTGGTTTCTTTACATTAAAGAGAGTATTGCTAAACTCGAATCGGACGAATTGGCAATTTTCATGTCAGAACTTGATCAGCTATCTTTTCGAACGCCCGTTCTATTCGATAAAGATATAAATCTATTGGATCCATTTTGTCAACGAACAGTAACATATAATCGGATTAGAGACTTTGAAACAGTTCGATGATATGGCCGAGGTCGATGAATCGGTGAGAGTGAACGATTTTGTAAGCCTTTTAAACGATTGGAAATGTGATAAACAACAAGAGCAATTTGTTCAAAAACTACAACAAATCCACGATAGAGAAATGAAAAAACGTGCCGTTAAGCTCGCGAAAGACGAAGTCGCGTTGGAGCGTAAGGCCCGACAAGAGGAAAAGCTGCGAACACAATTGGAGAAACGTCAACGGTTAGAAAAAGAGCGTAAGGAACTACAAGAGGAAAAGCTGCGAATACAATTGGAGAAACGTCAACGGCTAGAACAAGAACGTAAGGCACGGCAAGAGGAAAAGCTGCGAATACAAGTGGAAAAACGTCAACGGCTAGAACGGAAAGAGAGCCTGATCAAACAGCGCGGATTAGTTAACGATACCATTAGCATGATGAATGGAAATTTTGGCGGACGTTTACCGGCCCTGATGACGCGAGAAGTGCCGTCAGTTAACAACTATTCCTGGCTACCTAGCAGTTTACATTCGAAACTAGGTTCATGCAAGTTTTCAATTCCTAACGTACTGGACGACACTACGTCAATCTTCTACTTTCTTAAAGAGCGGAATTTAAATAGACCTAATATGTTTGTAGCCGCTAAAGGTAGTTTGGACAGGAGCCATTTTCGTTACAGTATTATTGTGCATGGCTTGGTCTTGATGTTTGCCATTGTTATG